CTCCATTGACAGATAACAGAGGCTTATATGCTGGTGCCACAGTTCTGTCCTCTCCTAGCATGGAGGAGCTGTCTCAGGACCAGGGTGATAGAGCTTCACTTGATGCTGCTGATAGTGGTCGAGGCAGCTGGACATCTTGCTCAAGTGGATCTCATGACAATATACAAACTATACCGCATCAGAGAAGTTGGGAGACACTTCCTTTTGGCCATGTCCATTTTGACCACACAGCAGATGGGCCAGCATATTGGGCCTCAGGTCATGTGGATCCAGCTATATTTTCTGATCATAGCACAAAGTATGGCAGACACAACCAGGGAAGAGAAGCATTAGAGCAAGCACAGTCCAGAGCGAGCTGGGCGTCATCAACAGGCTACTGGGGTGAGGACTCTGAAGGAGACACTGGCACCATTAAAAGAAGAGGTGGAAAAGATGTCGCACTGGAAGCTGAAACCAGCAGTATATCATCTATGGCGTCAGATGAGTCAAAGGGACTACCTATACCAACACACATAGCTGTAACTACAAGCTCTGCGAAAGGTCTTATTGGTAAGAGATGCTGAGATTTTTAGTTTTAAATGTTTACTGATATAGTGTTAAAAGAAGTCATGTTCTCGGTCATCAATTGCAATAGCTGAAGTAATATTACGGTTAGCAAGGTGGTGTGGAAGAGAATTACATGTACTTTTTACTATTCTTCATGAACATGTAAAAATCTTTTTCATCTAGTGTAATTTTATATATTCAATCTACTTCCATTTCTTTATTATGTAAAATACAGCTTCACATTGTTATTTAAATGTTCTGTCATCTCTCGTAGCCTAAATATATGTATTTTTTTTCAATCTATTGCAGTACTACATCTCCTCTTGTAACTGGTAAACCAGCTATAAACATCTTCTATTTTGTTTATTGTTGCTAACCATAATGGGATTTGTGGTTCCACCCACTGGCAGAACAGAACTCTCCTTTATACAATGCAGGAGTGGCATGGTAGCATTTAACAAACTATAAAATGTAATCGACATATTGTAGTAGAAAAATCATTACAAAGTGTACAGATAACTTCTCATTACATATGGAAGGTTTAAGTTATACATACTAAGTAATATACGCTACAAGTATGCACCCCATACCGCTCACAAATCACTCCAGAATGGAGATTTACCTGATCCCTCCTAATTATGTTGTAGTTGTCCTATATTTTAATTATCTGTTCTTTAGTGCAATCTTTTTTTTTTTTTTTTTCGGTTTCTTTTCTTTTGTGACAATAATTGTCTCTTATGGTAGTGTATTGTGTTACCACAGCAAGAAAAGAAGGTAGATACCGGGAACCACCACCAACCCCACCAGGCTATGTCGGAATACCAATTGCAGACTTTGCTGAAGGACACCCGCAAGTCTCAAGAAAGCCCCCTGATTACAATGTGGCTTTGCAGCGTTCCAGAATGATGGCTCGGAGGAGTGATAGTGAGGGAGCCACAGCAAATTCTCCACCATCTCATAATCAGCCTTCTTCTAGGCCAGTAAATAAACCGCAGTGGCATAAACCAACTGAGTCCGACCCGCGACTAGCTAGCTATCAGGCACAAGGAGTTCCTGCAAAGGATGATGGTAAATGTCTCACACACAATTTAAAAACTGAAGTTATTACATGAGAATGCTTTAAACTTTGGGATAGCTGCTGATAAATTGTCCACAACTGATTTGGATCTATCAAAGTACAACTACATATAGAATTTGTCCTGAAAAAGGCAAATCTCTGTTCATTAAGTTTTGGCCTGAAAATGGAATCTGTGCAAGACTGTATCATGTTATTTATATAAACATACCTATGTGTTGTTGTTTTCAAACTGAACAGAGCACTTTATTTCTGTGAATGTATATCAGTAATCCCTTCCAGGTTTTCTTTTACTTTTTTTTTTTTAATAACATTGCTGTGCTCAGTATTGATGTCTCGCATGTATACATTTGACCATTTTAGTTTCTTAATTAGGTAGGCCACAGTATGGAATAGTGAATTTACCTTTACAAAATGTGGAATTTTGGCCATAATTTTGAATTTACCCAGACTATTTTTGGCTAAGTAAATCTTGTCTGTGTCAGATTGCAGGTCTTCACATGATTCACATGATACTCATGCGGAGACCTTTTAGCTTCAAAAAGGTTTAGGTCAACAAAGAGTTAACTACATTTCAAATGTATGTTTTATTGTTGCAGAGTGTTTGTTTTTTTTGTTTTTTAAATGGCAACAATTCTTTGGGTAGGTAGTAATACTAAAGCAAGGTGTTGTTGCATTATAGATTGTTTTTCTTTATTTGTAAATCAAGTTTTGTTATTTCCGTTAAGATGTTCTATGTTTAAAAGAAAGATCTATCTCTAATTCACCAACATTTCTCTTGATTTAATCATTGTATTCTCTTTTTTGCTCTTCAGCAGATGATGAGCAAGTTTCTGCTGTGTAAGGATCAAGGCTCTTTCTGTCCCAGGCTGAGCCACCTTCAATGGAGAGCACAAGAGGATGTCCCTCGTGACAGGAGTCTGTGGACCTGTTTCCTCCTTCTCTGCCTTAAAGCAGCATCGGGCATCGTCTACCCCTTTGCCTCTCTCCCTGGCATGTGAAATACTGTGAAGAAATCACCCTGGCACTTTTTGTCCCCACTCCCCCAAACTGTGTTGCTTGAAATACACAGTGCAGCAACCTCCACTCTAGTGGCTGGCACCTTGCACAGTATCATTCCAGACTTCTCAACCATCACATCAGCCATGATGAACTCTGGTTGCACTTCGTAATGCCTGGAAGGGTGTTTTTATATCTTCCTTTTCCATTTTAATCATATCCCTAGCAATTGCCTTTCACTTGACTACATTGATCAAGCTAGTCATGTGCTTTCAATAGCCGTTTTAACTTCAGCCGAAATTGCATTCGGATAATCGCTGCATACTGTTTTGGGTTTTGTTTGTTTACAGTACTGTTAATGTTACAACACAACCTCTTTAATGTGCAAGGTCTTTGGTTGTTCCTAGGAACCTAACGCAGTAAAGAGGGACACACTTCTTTTTTTTTTTTTTTTTTTTTTAAAACAAGATTTAGTTTAATTTTGTTACATCAGGATATTTACAGTGTTATTTCACACCTAAATTATGGTTCTTTTCTTTTTTTTTTTGTAATGTTTATAGAGATTTTTAATTAAGTGATGAACTGGATAACATTAAAGTGATGGCAGCTTTGGGACCCTTAACTAATGCTACTTGCTGTAATACTGACCGAGTTACAAACTTTTTACGTTTCCCACATGTTAACCAACTCTTCAGCCACCATTGACATTTATAGGCCGGCCATCACTTTGGATGCAGCATATTTCGGGGAATAGGAAACAAACTGTTATTTGCCGTTGTATGGACCTGCACTTGTAGAGAAGGCCATTGTGTAGCATTCACTGCTCACAGCTGCTATATAACACTTTTCAGGACTGAGAATGCCATCTTCTCCCTCACCCTTTGCACAGACTCCGGATAAGTGAAGGCTGCCAATCCGAGTAATACTCCTGTGTGAGGAATTTGTGGTCTTGGATTATTTTGTCTTTTTTTTTTTTTTTTAAATCATCGTTTGTTTTTTTCCATTGCAGTTCAACTGATCATATTGATCAGTGGACAAGCATACATATATATATAGATATATATACAACTTTAAAAAAAGAAAAGTAGTAAACAAAATGCAGTGTTTTTTTTCACTGTGTAAAAACAATGTCAGTGCTTTATTTAATGATTCTATCTATCCCGTTATCATGGCTTTTGTCTACCTTGCATCTATATCACATTGTCAATTATGCCTATGTAATTTTACATGTAATATGCATTATATGCCAGCTTTATTATGTAGGCCATGGACCTCATGCATATAGGCAGACAGAAGCCCAGCTCAACCACACATTGCACAAATGTTCTAAGCATATGTACTCGTAGGATCTAGGACGGCTAAATCTCGGTTCGCTCTGTGATGTCCAGTGCAGAATGTACAACTAACTGGTGACTTTATCATACTTTTGATACTACTTATACCTATATGTCTTTTAGAAAGACATTGGTAAAGTCTGTATCCCTTTTGTATTTTTAATACAATAATTGTACATATTGGTTATATTTTTGTTGAAAATGTTAGAAATGTAATATGTTTATGCTTCTACATCCAGTTTGTATGAAGCTGGACTACAAATAAATATGACAAGCAGCTTGATGGTACCATTCACTATTTTGTTTTTATCAGTGGACAAGACGATTTTTAGAAATGGGTGAGTGGAAGCGAAACACAGCAGTTCATAATTTCTATAAGAATATAGTCAATTGCATTGAACTGCTCCAAGGTACCAACTAGGAGAAGAAACTCTCTTAGGAAATAAATGTGCAACAGTGAAAATATGTTAAGTCTTGGTTAGGACTAAATATACCAGCTTGCAAACTTGCTAGGCATCACTCATCACTCCAAGGGTATGTAATATTTTATTCACAAAAAAAAAAAATGGAATGAAAACTACACATGCAAGTGAGCTTACAACCTACCCTTACTTACTTGCATGCAAAGTTTTTAATTATTTTATAATTGTCTATTAATGAATTGTGTATACAACTAGTTTTGCACTTGTGTGGTTCTCTAGGGGTTTTTGAGAAACCTTTAATTTTACTATGCAAACATATTGCAATACTCATATTGGTGATGAAACTATTCAGTCATTTCCTGGTTGAAAAAGATATTACTGCGGAAGCAACAGAAATTGGTGTTTTTGACTTTTTTTTTTTTTTTTTGAGAGGTGAAATGCTTAGAGGTATATTCTATTTTATGATTTTAAAATTGACGGTAAGTTTTCAGAATTGTAACTTGAAAGTTAAAACTGGTATGTTTCAGTTATGCTCATAAAGGTCCACAGCATTTAATTTATCACCACCTAACACAAAAATGTTACTAATAAACAAATATTGTAACATTAGAAATTGGTAATATGCATACTCTGATATACATTGCACTTTGAATAGCACATTATATTTAACAAAGCAGCCAGCGGGAAAGTGAAATGTCTGATTAGAAAGACCACCAAGAGAATGATACCTGCATGGTTTATGCAGTATGTTAATTACAATCTGACCGTGCAATACAGTTTGGAAAGTAGTCCAGACACTCAATGTGTAGCCAAAGAAGCGGTTTATTAGGAGAGTGTACAGACAACGTTTTGACCCCAGATAAAGCTTGACAAAGACCCTCTGGGGTCATAACAGCTTTTTTTAGTTACATCTCGAGTGCCTGGACTATTTTCTACTTTCCAAACTAGAGTGAAGTTTGGCCTACATAAGGTCTGGTTGCACCCTGGGAAACAAGGGAGTGGGGTGTCCACTTGCTTCATTGAATACAATACAGTTTGACATGTTTACCAAATTGCACATAATATTAAAGTGATGCTCATGGTACCTGAGATGCAATAAAACTTCCCAGGAACATTATGCAAACAACCCAAACATTTGTTTTTAAATATATTTTATATAATACGTTTCGCAGTGCTGTATAATAAGTGGACTAACAAATTGAAGAGAAGGTGCTCGGGCTATTGTATAAAGTTGGTTGCTAGCAATGTTTACAATAACGTTGTGATATAGTGGGTGAAATGTGGGAAGGGTAAGAAAATACTGACTAAAATTCTCAGGAGCCCTCAATGGCATGTGTTGTTACTTGGTTTGTTTGAAGGACTGTGACATGTAGTGTATACAGGTAAGCTAGATGCGGTTGACTGTAATGCTAATATACAAAAAAATATTAATGAGAAGGTTGTAATACCCCTGAAAATACACTATTGTTAGTATTGATATATCACCATTTAACTTTTATTTGCTACCAGACACTCATTAAAATTAGCAAAAAACAATCCTTAATAAAACAATGAAACTTTAAATAGCTAACTAAAGCGACAAATGTTAAAAAAGAAAGTACCATCCTGTTATTCTTGTGTATAATGCAGTAAACCGGACAGTTGGATGGGGCAAAGTGTTGTAATATGAGGGCATGGTAAGTGAAAACTATTGTATGGCTTTTGCAGATTGAGCAGATCTACTCCAAGCTTATCCTTTTGGATAGTCAAGCTTTTAGGATTTTTTTGTTGTTGTTTGTTTATATATATATATATATATATTTTTTTTTGTAACCCTGTGGACAAAATGAACGTTATTGGCATTGCACACAGGTCAAACCAGAGCTGGACAGCTTTAGAGCATGTACACCACATGTGAGCATTGGTGCCCCCTGCACTCCCCCCCCTCCACGCATAATCACCAGCAAATGTGTCAGACCTGCTCATACAGTACAGCTGTACAATGTACCAATCAAATAGTATTTTGCATAACTGTCCTGGAGTGTTACACAAATGAACGTGTTTGAGCTAGTTTTCCCAAACTCCTTCCATTCCCAACCAACCCCCAGGTCTGCCTCCCATTATGCCACGTAACTAAGCTTCCCCCATTTGTTGGAATATGAGCTGAGATGTTGGTACACCAGGGTGATCATTCCTGTCTGTGGTGTTTCTTCTATGCATAATATTTCACAGAAAGTAAGGGTGGCCATAGCTGCCTGCTTCACCTCTCTGTGTTTCAAAGTCTCTAATTTGTAAATAGCGGAAATAATCCCCAGGTGTTAGTTACCCACTGAAGGTCAGGCAAACAAACATCTGATTTGGTTTTATATAGGTGAAGATGCTGCTGCATCCCCACTCTCTCAATGCCCCTCAAACCCTTTTGCTTGCATGCCAGATAGAAATTCTTAGGACCAGTGAGAAACTCACACCAGTGGAGTCCCATACTCTGAGAGAATTTATGACAGAAGGGCACAGTATGACCCACCGAGGACATGGAACCAAAATTTAAAAGTGTGGCATTCTCATTAGGATGGACTCATGGTTCACCCATCTTCTTTTGTCAGGCAATCACCTGCACTAGTTGAGCTGATAGGTAATAGAGGTACAGGTGACGCAGACTAAGACTAACTTTGGAGTTTTCCAAAGGAGTCAAGGAGCTACTCTAGGCACGGCAAGGGGGAGACCAGGTAGGCCTGCATAAGTAATACAAGGAGGTGAAGGATGAGAACAGGGCTTCAACATACTGTTCTTTACTATGAGTATGATGGGGAGAAGGCTGAGTAAAATTTGATAAATACTGCATTGACATCCCCAGGAGAGGTGACCAGCCTCCTGGTTTTGTTTTGAATTGCTGTAATTTGTTTTGTTCCTAACTGAGATGTAGAGCTCTCTATACCTCCCCTCCAGGCAAAAAAGAATCCATTGGTATGAAAAGAGACCTCCATCTACCCATGATCACTGGCCATTTCAGTAAAGACATTAGTGCAACAGGTTAAAGATTCCAGCAATAAAAAGTGAAAAAAAAAAAAATTAGGCAGTCAATGAGAGACAGCGTACATTGTCCCAACCTGGTTACGTCAGGAAGTCCCCTGTAAGCCACTTCCTCCTGTCCTTTACCAAACTCGTGCACTCTATATAACAATAAACATTTTCGTATTGGGTACACATAAGGGCCAGCTCAATAAACCCTAGCATAACAGAAGTGCAGTGATGCTCCATATTACAGATGCAAAAATGTCAAGTAACATAGCATAAATGAAATGTAACTATACATAACATTCAAAATAACACAAAGGAAACATCAAGTACATAGAATACTATCCCCACTGGGATGGTTGAGAAACAAGGAGACTACTGTGAAATAGGAGATCTATATCAGCCATGGGAGAGTGTAGTCATAAAAGGATTTTGGGGATGTTCGCAAACCAAGAAGAGTATTGGTGAAAGTCCAGAAATTCCCGGCCCCACCTAGGCAAGGGTTTTAAGCTAATACTTAAAAGTTATAATAACTCAACTGCCAGACCTTGAAAACAAATCTTATCTGAGCTCAACGTAATGTTTTAATCCCCGGCATTACATGGGTGCACAGAGTCCATCCAAACATAGACTAATTTAAGATTGTGAGTCCCTCAGGCCACCTTATCTCAGATACTGTACCAATCCTGCTGAGGCAATTTAGGTGACTGATGTCTTGGCAGTTGGATGGTGTCTCATACCTTTATTCCTAAGCTATCCAGTTATCTGGCTGGGCCAGCTCCAAGTACCAAGCCTGCCACCTTTAAAAGTCACAATTTTAAGGAGATATATCGTTAATGGGTTTCCATTCCCTTCTACAGCGTAAGGTTGTTAGGAACACATTCTGGAAGATTAGGAGCTCTGTGTCTTGGTAGTTTATAGGGCCCTTATTGCTCCATTTCATATAGCTTCTTTCATTTGAAAATGGTGGAATCGAACTTTGATATCTCCTGGGGCAGCATTGTCTGTTCTGAGGGGACCTATATTAGGTGGCAAACATGTCTTCCTAAAGCCCTGGTGGACTTTTGAGGCGGCTTCTGAGATGTCCGCTTTCTTCTAAATTGAAGAAGCAGTTGTAGGTGAGTATTCACTTGTGCTGCTCTGCTAACACGTGCGATTGGCAATGTGGTGATGTGGGAGCTCAGGTTTTATGTGGCCATCTTAAAAGTCAGACTATGTCCCTGGAAGCCTGCTTCTTAATGAGAGACTATTTGCCACATACCTTCTTCATGAGATCTTGGGAACAGTTGCGTTTATTAGACCAAAGATTCAAATAGTAATTTGCTTACAAAAAAACATCCAGCAATGTAAGTTTTATTTGTGTGGATGCTTCACCCCTTCGTCAACCTGGAGATAAATTCTGAACCGCCTAAAAATCCAGTAGACAAGTTTACATGTGAACATCTGCCAAATTAGGATTATGACTATTAAAAATTGCCTCCATGCTACATTTGCACCACTAGAGCCCTGATTAATATTTTTTCCCCCCAGGTGTCTGACCTGACATTACATAGTTACATAGCTGAAAAGAGACTTGTGACCATCAAGTTCAGCCTTCCTCACATATGTTTTTGCTGTTGATCCAAAAGAAGGCAAAACACTCAGTCTGAAGCGCTTTCAATTTTGCCACAAACTAGGGGGAAAAAAATCCTTCTTGACCCCAAAACGGCAGTCAGATATCTCCTTGGATCAAGCAGCTATTATCCTACTAATTTAAAATTATATCCCTGTATGTTCTGTTTGGAAGTATTTATCCATTGCTGTTTAAACACTGTATGGACTCTGATAAAACCACATTGAACTAGATATGATATGAAGTACATTTACTTGTTAGAGGTTCTGAGCAGGGTAGAACACTGATATTTTACAAAATAAGAAAAGATTGGGAGAGAGTACTTATTGCACATATTGTCATTTTGTGTCTGACATACCCTGTTTGTCACTTGCCACCATAAAAAAATGACCCCATTATGTTTCTCTTTCTGGGAAGTTTCATATGCACATGCTTCAAAAGGATATCCATATGAGCATTGTGGCAAACCCTGCGAATGCCCTGAAACTATCGAAAGAGAGACCACCCCGGTGTGATCGTGTCTCTCCTATTAACAAAAGATACAATGTTGCGAAGTGTGTTAAGTGCGAGTGTGTGTGGCCGCCATTTCGCCTACCGAACACGTGGCGGCGGCCATCTTACGCACGAACAGCGTTACTTGGTCGTCGAACGCCTGGAACTCAAACCGAGTACCACTAAGACCTCCAGCACGCTCAAAAGGCACGAAACAATCACACGAACACCTCAGCATTCGGTATGTGGAATCCCACGAATGAGGGGATTCTTTCGAATGGTAAAGGAAGCCTGGATGCCCTAGCCGTTCGGGACTTTTGATTCACCAGAAAAGACCGACCGCAGGGCCAGAATTCATGGAACTGTTTTCGGCTGCTGAGCCCGTGCGGTCGGTCAAATCTTTCACCTGCTGTAACTCCCGAACCCCTGGTCCAATCTGGGTGAGTTTTGAGTATGTTGCTCACCCAGATCAGGGCTCCCTTATTCAACCCTGTACCCCCTGTATTTAGGGGACATCCACAAATTGGGAAAAACTGTGTGCCTATTAATCTTGTTAAGTGTTAATCTAAGGGGATGAGAGGGATGGGAGGTGACCACTGTATGATTGGCTACTGTAGTAATTATGAAAGTTACCTCCCTTGCATGGGAGAAATGCATAAAAGCAGACCTGTGAATAAAGCCATCAGTTGACTCCCAGACTGTGTCGTCTAGTCCTTGGTGAGGTGGATTATGCTGTGTTCCTGTGATTTTGTATGCTGAATCTTCGTTCCCAGAGGAGAGCTATTGGATTAACCCCTGCCACTCCGCTACAAGCATTAAAACAAAATTCAAAAGGAACAAGTGGATCACTAGAGAAAAATAAATAATTGGGTATACAAAATGATTGTTGAGAGATGAGAAATGAAAGTGGCATAACGATGAAGAAATCAAGATGTCTAGAATGAGAGAAAAAGTTATATGGCTGGGTAGACTGCGACAGTCACAATCATACAACCTAATTACAATCTGTAATAAGTGAGCAATCTGTGTTTTGTACACTGGTAAATTTGTTTTATAGATTTTTTTGAAAGGTATGTTGGAATGCTGTGACTAATATGTTGGAGATGGCCTGGGATTATTAGTTGTGGATGGATAGCTGGCATTCATGTTAAAGAACTGTACCCTGTTCATGTATATCTGCTCCTTTGTTGAAGATGTTGCTGTATAATAGCGCCCGTGATAACACCACTGTCCAACATGTGTGCTAGTGTTAACATTTTTCACTTTCGACACTTCTGCTCAGCTGTATCTCCTCTCTCTTCATCATCTTCTACTTTTGCTCATATTTTTCGAGCTAAAAAAGTCTGATGGTGTATTTGATTTTTGGAAGTAAAACTTTTTCTCATTACGTACTTTACAAATTTTGATTAAGAAATCATGTCAGAATTTTTCTAGTAAAAAACATATTACTGAATTACCTATAAGATGTAAATTCTATTTCTTAGCAAAAATTGATGACTTGCTCAGAAATTTGCTCAAACCATGATTTTTGCTACAAGATGTAAATAGAAATGTAGATAGACAGACTTGTCTTTGCCTATCTACCTTTAGACACATACAATGTGTTTATAATTTTAAAAAAATGTTAATGTATGTATTTACTCAGTAGAAGAACAGTTTATACATAGCACCTACAGTCCTGCCAGGCTTTGGTTAATTGGATAAGGGTGATGAGGGTGGTGGTGACAGTATTGCCCAAGACAAAGGAATAGTATTACTGAAAATATCAATATGATTTTAAAGCATTACTTTACTAATCATTACTACTGGATGTGGCGGACCACCTGGCACCCTGACTGGGTACCTCCACCAATCACACTTCCTAGTGCTCACCGAGTACTATAAGCACCTCATGGGACACAATAACCACTGTAGACCATTTAGCCGTCGCAGCTTGGCTGGGCTTTTGCCTCCCTTTCACGCCCTGAATCAAAACATTGATCCAGCTCCCAGTGGGAAGACCTCTCCTCCACGAGAGTATCGCTGTATAGCCAGTAAAAGAGCACGTGATATAGCAGTATAGCTGTTCCCCCCCAAACCTGAGCCGAGGCTTAATGCTGGGAGTTATCTGTTTTCTTAGAGGTCACACACGGCCTTTTATGCAAAATCCCCTGCAAGGGGTTTCCAATCCAACATTACAAGGAAATTCCTCCCAGGATCCTCTGTGCCTGAAAGATAAGAAAAATTCCACTGAACAGTGTTGTTCTAGGTCGGATCTACAGAACCGAACGCAGGCTATGATGGAAGTCCATTGGTGTTTTGGAGTTTATTTTTTTTGGGAGTTTGTGTCCGATTTTAGTTCAATGAACTCGACGACCAAACACCGCTGCCTATGTTTATGCGAACAAGATGGCTGCCACCTCGTGGTCATTCATGTGAATTGCGGCAACCCAGATGAACAATTAGAACACTGAGGTGAGAACCGTTACAAGGTGTTAACATGGGCGTCCGCGGGGGGGGCATAATTGTAATGACATCCATGCTTGGCCCCTTTTTGACAGTCGAAAGAAAAAACGATTATAAATAGGATGGCGCAAATGGGAGAAGGAGTACATGCAGCAACCAACAAAAACAAATCCTGGTAAAACGATTTGAACATAAAATAACTTACAGTAGTGATGGTGCGCAACAACAAAAATTGTATTCACTATGGACCTCTTATAGAGAGTGAAAGTATCCCTGTGTACATGAAATTAGGTGTATACAGAGTGGAAATATTATTAGTAATTGAAAACCAAACAGTGGTTGTGGTAAAACAAAGCACAATCTGTAGGTGTACTTGCAAACATTGAAATCACTCTGATACCTATTAAGGAGACAAAAACAGAAAGAGAGCTCCTAGTGCAGCATAGTAATTCACTTACAGATATATAAAATAAAGCAAACAGAGGTGCCCTTAAGGTATTACACTCACAAGATTGGCGTGGTAAAAGCACCACTCGTTGCTATAGCACTTAGGGAGGATCAGCCCCTAGACTGCGTGGGATTCATGGAAAAGAAGCTTGCAATCAGGATCTCAGGTAAGTATACTTTATTAATAGCTATTTAAAAACAGCAAAACTTGTTGTGGAGGTAGTTAGTCCGCTCACCAGCCTCAGGAAACCGCAAAGAAAGTTCCATATACTCATGTAATGTAAAAAATCCTCCGGCTGCTGTTGCTGACTGTCTCCAATTTACTTCCTGGTTCCAGGTCCGTAATGCGTTTTGCCCTGCCCACAGGGCTTTGTCAAACCTTTTTGACCCTGTCATGAAGGGGAGGAGCATAGTCATTACCATATAAAGCCAGGGTGAATAGCGTTTTCACAACGTTTGTTTTCATGACACTACAGTGTTTCTTTATTGCAGTGTATTCTCACACTGAAACCAAAAATAGCAGCACAAGCTGAAAAATCCAGGGGCATGGGGGCGTCCATGGGTGTTAACATGGTTTAACAAGCTCCTGGGTGGTCCATAGTTTGTGCGTCTGTTCGGTTCCCGAACAGTATAGGGAAATGGCATGATCAAAGCAGGAGGCTAGCCAGCAGGCCACTCCAGGAACAAGTGGCAGAGGAAATTCTGCCACACTGGACAGGGGCTGGCTGGGCAATTGCCCCCCAGGCCAACCTAAATAATTAGAAAAATAGCCACTGCAGGGCCGGTCCCGGGCGCCAGGAAGAGGGGAGCTGCCGTGTGGAGCAGGCCGATGGCCTGTCATAGGGAGCCCAGCAGGTGGCCAGCTGGCCACCTAGGGCGCCCCGGTAGCAAGGCAGAGTAGGCACCTGCTTGTCCCAGATGGCAGGTGCCTACTCTGCAGCAATATACTGGCAGCGTGAGGAAGGAGGCAGGCGGTGGCGAGGGAGCATTGCCTCTGCTGATGATCTTCCTGCTCGCGTGCCCTCTCTGGTGATGCCGGGAGCCGGAATATAACGTCATTCAGGCCCTGCATCACTAAACTGCGTGAGGGAGCAGGAAGATCATCAGACACTAGACCCCGGGGAGAGGACCCAGAGGACATCTAAAGGTAGGAGCAACAAGAAATAAAATTAATTTGTGAGTGTGTGTGTGTCTGGAAGTGTGAGGGAGTGTTTTGTGTCTGGAAGTGAGTGTGTGTGTCTGTCAGGGCCGTCTTTCTGCATGGGCACGCTGGGCAGTTGCCTGGCCGACGGGAGATCCTTTGATCTCCCCAGCCAGCTGACCAATGGAGAGGTGGACCTGTTTTCAGGCCTTGGGCCTTCAATCGCGGAGAGAGGTAGCTAGGACCCAGGGCTGCAGGAGAGGCCGACCTGTAAGGCAGGTCGCTTCTCTCGCAAACAGGCTGTGTGGAGCGTTGCTACGCATTACCATGGCAATGTTCCACACAGCATTCTGCGCACAGGAGGACAGGAGACAGCCTGCAGCCAGACAATCTGAAGGCTGTACAGAATTCACAACTGGAACACCAGGGCTGGCTGTGTAACAGCCCCTTTCACCAAAGGTAAGAAGAAGGGTGAGGGGGACATATAGATTTTATTTAATGTATAGTAGTATTAAAAAAACTAAAAATATTTGATACCTGCACCCCTCAAACACACACACAGCACCCAACACACATATAGCACTCCACACACACGCAGCACCCCACTCACATAGTAATCCACACACACAGCACCCGTACACACAAACACATACACTGCACCCCTCACTGCAGTGTGTGTGTATTCAGCAGTCTGTGTGTATGTTTGTGTGTGTTTGTATTTAGCACTCTGTGTACTTAGCAGTCTGTCTGTGTGTGTCTATTCAGCAGTCGGTGTGTGTGACTGTATTCAGCAGTCTGTGTGTATGTATTGTATGTATGCATTGCATTTGTTGGAGGTACTTTTAAATATAATCTTCGTTGTATCTATAATTTACGTTTTTATTCCTGTAAGTTGTGTAGGCAGGGCCCCAGTGCACTGCTTTTGCCCGGGGCCCCATATGTTGTTAAAATGGCACTGGTGTCTGTCAGTAAGTGTGTGTGTCAGTCAGTGAAAGTGTGTGTCTGTCTGTCAGTGAGTGTTTGTCTGTCAGGGTTTGTGTGTGTTATTGAGAGTGAGTGCCAGTGTGTCTGTCAGCAGGGCCAGCCTTTGAGGTGTGCAAGCTGTGGGGTCACATAGGGCGTCATGACAACAGAGGCGCTCGGCGGCCAACACAGCACACAAGTTTGGGACACCAGCATATTTAATTTAAACGATTCCCTGGTTGTCCAGTGGCTGCACACCAGCAGTAGGTGCAGTCAGATTATATCCTCTCCCTTG